GCCCAGCTGCAGGTCGAGCTGTTGTTCACCATCTTAGCTGTAGAAGGCAGTGTCACTGGGCCATGTGGGATCCGAACCAGCAGCCCTGCTGCTCAGCGCTCCCGCCCCCAAGCCAACTCGGCTGGCCCCAGGCTAAGCTTCTTTATACTGGCCCATACTCTCATGCTGAGGAGGGCAGATGAATTCTAGCAGTCCTAAAATACAAAAGTTTACATAATTATTAGCAAAACCTAGTTCTTAGATTTAGTTGTTTTTTTTTAAAGTAATCAAGAACCTGATTAAGACAATACAAATTATTTTGATGACATATAATCTTTGCTTTTCAGGCAGAAAACTTTATCATAATATCAGTAGCAGACCAGTAGTCTAACAAACTTTGTCTTGTTTAGCAGTGAGAGAAAACTTAACTAAGTTTTGATATTTAAATTTACTTATTAATTGCATTTAGCTTAACCATATTATAAAATTCTTTTAAGATTTTCCTTCACAAACCTTCTACAACTTTCCCAGTCCCCCTTAGTTTGTCTCCCCTCATTCAGAAATAACCATCCTTAGGACAAACTAGTTTCTTTCAATTCCTTAAAAAACGTATTTCCATACCTGATACCTTCCTTGAAAATACACATCATTTTCTTTCATATGAATTAGAATCCATAACCTTCAGAACCTTAATTTTCTCTGACAACTAAAAGCAAGCAATTAGCATTTTCATTGGCCAATCCAGGAACATATTTTGTAACCTTTAAAAGCATAAACTTTTGTAATAAAATTTAAGATATATTTATTAACAGATCTTAATCTATCTTGTAACATTCTTGCGACAAGAAGCCAGAAATAGATGAAATCAGATTCATCCAATAATTAATATGTCAGCATTTTGTTATTTTGAAATACCTAATTTTTATCATTTAACACAACTTAGTAAACCTGAAATTTTAAGTTACCAACAGATGCTGAGAACCCATGTCCAGACAGCCACAGTATATAATTATTACTGAAAAGTTTAATCTAAAACCTTATTTCAGTTAATATTTTATTAGTTTTTAACTCTATGAGATTTCAAAGTTAATTATTACCCAAGCTATTTTCTTGACAAATTTTGAAAGAGATAACATGAATTTATTTTTGTAAACCCAGGTAAAAAGATACCATACTTAATGTTAATAGCCTTAAAAGACATAGCTATTCAACCCAAAGTTAAACCAGCCTTAGTATCAAATATTTTCTTAGATCATGTGATCCTGAAAAGTACTTGGTTTTGTTGTTGGAAAGTGGGCCCTTCTCGGCGCAAAGTCCAGGTCCTTGGCAACTCAAGCAAAGAATTGAACGAGATGCCAGAGTAAAGTACTGAAAAAGTTTATTTGAAGAGATAGTACATTTCAAAGAGTAGAAGTAGGCCGGAGCAGTAGAGAATGGCTCAAGGGCCCATTGTTAGAAGAGAAATTACATTCCAAAGAGTTTGTAGCAGGCCATGTGCAAAGGAGAGGCTCAAAAGGCTCAAAAAGGGAGAAGTGGTCAAAAGAGCAGGGCGTCCAAAAGGGGAAAAAAAGGGAAAAAGGGTGGACTTCCCAGGACTTGCGGTTTTTATCCCTTCTTTAGAATGGGCTGTTTCCCTAAGGGCGTGGGACCACTTGATTGGCGCCTGTGATTGACAAGAGGTACTGCGCAGGTGCGAGCTACTGGTCTGATCTAGTTGGGTATTTTGCACCCATTTGTTTTAGGGGTAGATAGTTACAATGAAAAGTTTTGGGTTGAGAGGGGAGTTATAATTCTATTTAGTGTAATTACAATTATACTAAATAGAATTATAATTACACTAAATAGAATTATAATTAATACTTGTGAATTCAGAACTATAAGCACCTGCTGAAACCAAATATTAAAATATTTTGGGTCGGCCGAGTGGCGTGTTGGTCAGGAGTTGGCTTGGGATGACAGCTCTGAGCAGCAGCTCTGAGCAGCAGGGTCCCGGTTTGGATCCCACATGAGGACCAGTGATACTATGCCCTCTACAGCTAAGATGGTGAACAGCAGCTCAACCTGGAGCTGGGCTGCCGAGAGTCGCCAGCGACAGCGTAGGCTGCAGTGGGGCTGGCCAGCAGCTGGTGTGAGCTTTTGTGAGCTGCTGTGAACCGCCGTGAGTGGCTGTCCAATGGCCGGCGAGCGACTGCCTCACCCAGGAAGAGTGCAATGATAATACCACCATGGGCCAGTGAAACGATGTCCTCCACAACTAGACTGAAGAACAAAAGGACAGCAACTTGTCTGTTCCCCTTCCTTGATTCCCCAATGCTGTTCCTCTCCCCCAAATTTCCCCAATAAAATCTTTAAAAAATATATTTCTATGGCTTTATATATTTTAGAATTGACTTTTCCAGCAATAATGGGAATTGTTGAGAATTTGCTACGTAGTACTTCCTTCTCAGCTGTGTCCACATAGTCTGTCACTTAAAAATTTTTTTTTAATGAATAAAAAACCCCCAAGAAATATTGGTTTTAAGGGTTGCTGTATTATTTAAAAATAATATATGGAAAACCAATTTTAATTCCATTAGGATACTCATTCTATGGACTAACTCCATTTTATATGTGTTCCACTTTATGTACCATTAATTTTGTGCCCTTTATCAGGTCTGTAGTAATAAAACATACAGTATTGTTTTACCCCTATAGTTTTATCTTCTTTTCTTAATCCTTACCTCTAGAATTAACATTGTATTTGCCAAAGATTTTCAATTATCTCCTAGAGTAGTGACTGCAGCTATAAATCCAAGGTTGTTTACGTATCTATACAAGCATCTTATTTATTCATGAGCCTGTTAGATCCACGAAGTAGGACTTTTAAAACACCGACACAAGCTCCCTCAACACAGGAACATGTGAAACAAAAACTACAAAATAAATTCAAGCAACTTCAAACAGTTCAAGTAGTTCATTTCAGTTTTTAGTTGATACCTTTATAAAGCAATGAGCAGAATCTATTCTCCTTAGACCCGGGATTTTTGCATTTATTCTTTGAATAAAGATTTATTCTATACTGACAATTGTATATCTTAAATATTTTTGGAAACATTTCTTCAGTTCAGGCCTGCATCACCTTTATTTTGAATTATTGCCGTCTAATTCATCTCTCTCCATTTATTTGTATGCCCCTCAAATTCATCACTCTCACAGCATTTAGAGCGATTTATCTCAAGTGCAAATATGACCATGAGCCACACTTTAAAACATATTAATGTCCAGGCATGTTAAAATTACATAAGGGGCTGGCTGAGTGGCTCAGTTGATTAAGAGTTCGCTCAAGAGTGCGAGCTCTGAGCAACAGCAGTTCGAATCCCAGCCCAAGCTGAGCTGCTGCTGAGCTGCCAACAGGTGGCAGGATGGCTCAGCTAAAAAAAAAAACCAAAACAAACAAAAAAACATACAAGGCTTTTATAATCTGACTTCTGCCTAACTCTCCATCTGGTAGCTTTTTCTACTCTTCGCCCTTCTACGGTCCATTACTGAACTGCTGGTGATGCCCTCCTCACCATCCCTGTATTTTAGACAAAATGTATCCTAGTGTAAGCTTCTCTCCGTGGGTCTTGATACAGCCTAGCATGTCTTCCCCTTTCCTGCCCTCTATCCCTTTGGTTTTGGATAACCTCACTGTTTAAGTCTCAGCTCAGGCATTATCTCTAGAAAAACCATTCCTGACACCCCTTATCTATGCTCTGTAAACCTCAGTGCTAGGTCCTAAAAAATGAAAAGAAATTTGTTAGAATAGTAGAGGAAATCATTTCAGATATAAGGAAGGGTGTACACTGATCAAGGTATAAAAAGCAACAATTTTGGAAACTGAATAATGTTGCAATTGAATCTTTGGGTGTTATTAAAAAGGTACTATTGTGAGGTAGGGAATAGAGTATAGTGTGACTTCATATGTTTGTCCTGTATTTCTAAATTTTGTTTTGTTTCTGATTGTTTTTTCATTGATGCTGGGTGAATGAATTTGTGAATGAATTTTTGAGATGTTTGTATGCCTTGAACTTTGTGACATCTATTTTTTCCCAAATGGTTTGTTGAAGTTTTAGATAATTAAAAGTATTTCTTAAGTAAATATTCAGCTAAAGATTAAGCTTAATTTAAATTCTCAATTGATAAAATGTTATTTTTCTGTTTTTGTAAAGATCTAGCTGTTCTGAGAAATTCATTCTAACTAATATATAGATTTTTCAGCAGAGCTAGACTTAGAAATGACATCAGAAGAAGGGCAAGAAAGCCTTGATGGAAATGAAAATAACCACCCACAGGTATGTAAAAATTTAAATTTCTAGTATAATATAATTTTCTATACTTTAGTAATGTAACATCCTATTGAAATTACCTTTCTCAAGATGAGGTTTCTTCTATACCCACATTGTTGAGAATTTTTATCATAAATGGTTGTTGAATTTTGTCAAATGGTTTTTCTGCATCTGTTGAGCTAATCATATGATTTTTTTTTAATCATATGATTTTTATCCTTGGTTTGTTGATGTGATGAATCACATTAATTGTTTTGCAGATGTTGAACCACCCTTGCATCCCTGGTATAACCCACTTGATCATGGTGTATGATCTTTTTAATGTGCTGTTGAATTTGGTTTGCTAGTATTTTGTTGAGAATTTTGGCATCTATGTTTATCAGGGATATTGGCCTGTAATTCTTTTTCTTTGTAATGTCTTTGTTTGGTTTTGGTAATCAGGATAACACTGGCATCTTAGAATTTTGAAATGTTCTTTCCCCTTCAATTTTTTTGGGAATTGTTCGAGAAAAACAAAATAAGCAAAATAACAAAAATGGACTGACAGAAACAGAGACTAAAAGGACAGTTACTAGAAGGGAGGTGGTGGGGGATGGGTGAAAAGGGGAATAGGAATATAATTGATGATATCGTGATAAGTTTGCACGGTGACAAATGATTACTAGAATTAGTAGGGTGATTACATTGTAAGGTATAAAAATATCAAATCACTAAATTGTATCCCTGAAATTAATATAACCAATATAATATTGAATACCAACTATATTTATATACTTAAATTTTAAAAAAGGAAAAAAACAAATTACTTTTCAAGCTATCCTTTTAGAGTTAATAGAGCATAATTGAATATAGTTTTTATAATATTTGAACTAGTTACAAAACTGAAAACAGTGTTAGAATCTACAGTAACTTATAGCTAAATTTCATCCTTGGAATTAAAAAAAAAAAAAAAAAAAAAAAAAGAACTATCCTGAATATTGTTTGCTCCTTTCATTTTTATAACTTCCTTTCATAATAAAGAAGGTAACATCAAATATTAAATTACGCTACTAAACAGTTGAAATTATGATCAATGTACAAATGGTGACCACTGAGTCGAACTCATGTGAAAGGAGTCATCATTCTCAGTGGTTCAAAATTTGGAGTTTCGTATGGCTGGTCACTAAGGCTAAGGTTAGAGATGGATTCTGCCTTGTGACCTCTATGTAATTGACCTCTGAGTCTACATTCAGGGAGAGAGTGGGTTCATGAAATCAACTCAACTCCTGTTAAGAGAATCACACCTTGCAGGATGGAACCTTTTGTTTTTAGAGTACAACAATAAGTTTCTAGTTTCTTTCATTTTGGTGTAGGAAACCAGTCAATATTATTCATTTTTTTATACGCGCTCATTAATGGATATTATTGGGTTGTCAGAAAAGTCATGACGTATTTTTTCTATGTTTTTTATTGTAAAAATGCGTCATTTTTCCGACAACACAATAGAATATATTAGAATTGAATGCAACAGATAACTATGTCAGTGTACAACACTACCATAGTATATAATGTGAATTAAAATTAGGAACTTGCTTTTCTTTCTGATAGATGTTAGCATCGATCAAGTTCCTATTTTTAATTCACATTATATACTGTGGTAGTGTTATATTTACATTGATATTATTATGCTAAGTGAAATAAGTCAGACAGAAAAAGTAGAAAACCATATGATTTCACTGATATGTGGTATATAAAACTGAAAACAACAAAGGAACAAGACAAACAAATGAAGAAACAAAAACTCATAGACACAGACAATAGTTTAGTGGTTACCAGAGGGTAAGCGGGTAAAAGAGAGTAGAAGAGAGTAAAAGGGATCAAATATATGGTGAGGGAAGGAGAACTGACTCTGGGTGGTGAGCATACAATGTGATATATAGATGATGTATTACAGAATTGTACACCTGAAACCTATGTAACTTGACTAATAATTGTCACCTTAAACTTTAATTAAAATAATACAATAAAATAAAAAGATAATCTTAAACGCATTGTAAGGGCTCACTAAGATATGGGGAGGTGAAATATTTTAAGTGAGGAAGCCTTTGTAACATTAAAAATCAACTACTAATTCATTTTTGGTGGATTTAATGTATAACAAATTGTTTAGTTCAAACAGAAGCAAAGTTAGGTGTACGAGTTCATGTTTTTCTCCTAATTTAGACTAAGGCAAGTTATTTTTTACTTCTTAGTTACAATCCAGTGATTTGGGAGTAGCTAAACATAGATTAAAAAGTTTAACAGGTAATTTTTAATTGTTTTCAATTTTTCTTTGTCCATACTTGATCCCTTAAGGATCAAGTTATTTCACAAACATGTACCCCGATCGAAAAGACATCTGAAAATCAAACCATGCAAATTAATCTTCTACTTTTGCATCTGTAAAAAATGTCTCAAGAGTCAGAAATGAATAAGGAATATGATAGAGATAATAGATCTGTATATTCAGGACATCCCTGTGTGCAAAAGTATGAGGAAATTTGGATCAAACAAGGCAAATTGGAATGGAGAAATGATTTAAAACTCTTCACAAATGACTTAAAGCAGAAGTTTGGTGAGTTTTGTGAAAAATACAAAATTACTGCTTGTCCTGAGGAAGAGCTACTACCTGATAACTCTAAAGAAGGGTCAAGCTTAAGAGAAATATCTTCTAATTTGACAAATAATATACTTGATTGTGAGGAAAAAATATATTTGGAGTGTCAGTCTCTGCAGTATTTTAGGCACTTCCTGAACAAAAATAACCTATTCCTGAAAATGTCTTTCCATTTCATTCACACTCTGGGTCCCCAGAATATTCTTGCCAGTCACCTTCTAAGCTTTGTTTAAATGAAAATAAATTATACCATGAAAATAACAAACCAGATTCTGAACATGTTTTTAACAAAAATGACGAGAGTTTTTATATTGATACAGAAAATAAAAAAGTAAGGAACTCAGTAGTTCCATTTGAAGTAAAAGAAGACCAAAAGTTTGATATGCAGGTGACAAAAAATAGGAACCCAAATACCACTAATTGGTTATTGGGCATGGAACATACATCTCAGTCTAGTGATTCAAAAAGCCTTCTTGATTTGTGTCTTGCCCGCTCCAGTGCAATGCAATTCATGATTCAAATAAAAAGGCACGGTTTTTCTGCTGTTACAAATACTTATAAGGAAACAAAACCAAGTCAGGCCTTGTTCCAGATAACTGTAGTGCTAATAACTGCAGATAATTGTAGTGCTAATCACTGTAAAAGCATGGAAACTGAATTAGAAATTGTAATTTCTTCTCCACGTGTAGTGACAGAACATCTGAATATCCAAATGGAGAATTCCAGCAAGAAATGCGAAGGTTTAAGAATGAGATAGGCATGTTAAAAGTACAGTTCCTGCCATCTAAATAATAGGAATTCAGGAAAACATTCTCATAATTTTTGTTCCTTAATCAACTTAAGTGCTTCTGTTAGTCTTCTGTATGAACTGGGACACTAATTTAGCTATGTGCCATGTGACCTTCTGCACCAGAAAAAATATAAAGGAGATTGCTTAAAAAAATGTAATAAGCTTTAGGTTTTGTTTTTTTTAACCTATTGGCCTAAATGTAAATTCCATTCATAAACAATAAATGCAAAGGAAGCAATGATTGAGAGAAGGGATATAAACAAATATTCCCAGCTAAACTAATCTATTTCGTGCTTTAGTGTCAATCTTATATGCTTTACTTTAAAGCCTTGGAACTTAGAATTGCAACATGACCTCTTTGAGATATTTTTAATAACAAACTATATATATATATATATATATATATATATATATATATAATCACCACTCTGAGATGTTTTTGTTGATTCATACTTTTATATTATGTTGTTTAATAAAGTATGGTACATTTTGACATGCATGATTTTATCATATAGGTAGCATAAACCCTTTGCAAAAAATTCGGTATTTAACTCTAAAGGAGAAAACATTTCTGAGGTGCATTGACTTTTAAAGATAGACAAAAACTGATATATTCTTTTTCAAAAGAAAAAGTGGATGAGCCCTCCCCGCAAACTAAAGCATTTAAATCACTTTTCAAAAGTCACAATTTTAATTGATCAGATCAATTTGATGAATTTATCTTGTAATTTTTCTGATTCAGCATTATAGAATTCTATCATCTCTTTTGGTGCCATAAAATGCTAGGTAATGCATCTTTAGGAGATTTGGACAAATCATTTAACCTTTGGGTTTATTTTCATTTTCAATAAATATGGGGCTAAAGTATTAGATAATTACTTTCATACCCACTAACTATAAAATTCTGTGGTTATTAAATGTGAAATTTGGGGATCATTGCTCATTTTCCAGAATTCTACATTAACTAACAGTTGGTCAGTTTCGCTGTGCTCCTGTGTTGTGGTAGACTTTGGTTCCTATATTTTATGAATAGTATTACGATTTTGATATCCCCAGAATCTAAAGGAAAAAAGAATTGTAAAAGGCAAGAGGGAAAGAATAACTTAGTGCAAAAAGAGGCAGACTTCCTATTATTAACCACATTCCTAAGCACGATGTCACATCCTCTAAGTCTGGCTGTGTGATGGAAGTCCAGGTGGTAAAGAAAGAAGATGATAAATTTTGTGTCTTTGTCTTTTTGGTTTTGTCTGTGCTAGTGAGATGGGGGAGGGTGTTAGGTAGCAAAGAGTGGGTGTGAATTAGAACACAACATTAAGAAAGCCCTTTATGAAACAGAAATGAAGCAGAGTTTACAAAAATTTCAATGATCTATGATGATATAGTAAGCACAAAAATATTTTTATTGATGAAAGACACAACAGTTAAACTCAGAGCCTAATAATAAAATCAATGAAAACACAAAAGCTCTTTTTAATGAATAAAGTAATAACAATTATCCTTAGTATCAAACTTTTATTAAAGATTGACGAAGAAAAGAAGCACGAAAGCTGTGAAATAGAAGTAACAGAACACATATATAACGCTGCTGCTGATGATAGCCATGGATTAATTCAACAAAGGAAGAGTGGAAAAACTGATGACCAGCAATTTCCTATTATGGAGAATGAAGATTCTGATAGGTAAGCCTATAGCAATGTTTAACAGTAGTTAATTGTTACTTTCCTATAAAGCAAATTCTAATTTGAGCTAATATTCATGATTAACAAACTGTATTTTTACTGAAGATTTTCAGCCTTGCCTGCTAATTAGAAAATGCAGAGTAACAAAAGAATTAACAAACAGTAAGATACCATTTTTTGAAGTCATAATGGTAAATATTTTATTTAAAAAATGACAACGGGGGTTGGCAAATGGGAGGAAAAAGGCGTTCTCATACACTATTGGTAGATGAAATTGGTAAATCATTTTTGAAGGGTAATTTAGCAGTGTGTTTCAAAATTTCAAATATGTCATCCCATTATCTCAACAGCTTCACTTCTGGAACTAAATCCTACAGGAAAACATGACTTGTATAAACACACACACACACACACACACACACACACACACACATTCTGAAGACATTTATTATATATTGTTATGTATATAAAACATACAATAGGTCATTATATATTATATATAGTTTGACATGAGGTCAGACAATTAAGTTTGCGAACTCATCCTAGAAAAAGTGCTATATACCTCATTGCTGAATATCATCACCATGGTCACCTTCAAAATATTCTCATTGGGAAGTTATGCACCAACGCCAGCGCCTGGTCCATCCTTGAAAGCAATTTTTGAATTCTTTTTCTGGAATGGCCATCAGAGCTGTTGTCGAATTACCCTTGATGTAGTGAATATCATCAAAATACCTTCCTTTCAATATTTCCTTTATCTTTGGGTAAAGAAAGAAGTCATTGGGGCCAGATCAGGTGATTAGGGAGGGCGTGCCAATACAGTTATTTGCTTACTGGCTAAAAACTCCCTCACAGACAGTGCCATGTGAGCTGGTGCATTGTTGTGATGCAAGGGTCATGAATTGTTGGTGAAAAGTTCAGGGCGTCTAACTTTTTCACGCAGCCTTTTCAGCACTTCCAAATAGTAAACTTGGTTAACTGTTTGTCCAGTTGGTACAAATTCATAATGAATAATCCCTCTGATATAAAAAAAGGTTAGCAACATCGTTGCAACAAGTTTGCGAACTTAATTGTCAGACCTTCGTATATGTTAAGGATATATAATATACATATATACATTAAGGATATTTATATAACATATATATATAAATATATATACATGTTAAGGATATTTATTATAGTATTGCATGTCAAAAAGTTGGAGGTTGTCTAAGTACCTATCAATGAGGAAATAAATTGTTATAACCATAAAAAAATACAATATGCAACCATTAGAAAAAATGAGGTTTGGTCTAGAGTATACTGATTGGTTTCACAATTAAAGTATTACATTTTGAAGGAAGTTATGTGCTACACTGGTACTCTACTTGGTTACCATCAAAATTCTAATTATTAGGTTTTTGTGTTTTGTTCCTAATGCATGAGTGCTCAAATATTAGACCCTCAAATTAATCTGAAAACAGAGATTTCCTGTGTCAATTTGTTCCATATCCTATATGGTGAATTGGGGAAGGGTAACAGCCAAGTTGTTGTCCTTCAGTCTTAGTTGTGGAGGGTGCAGCTAGCTCAGCTCCAAGTCCAGTCAACATTTGGCCGCCCATCGGCAGCCCACAGCCACTCAGCTCTGGCGCAGCTCACTCGCCCATGTGGGAATCAAACTGGCAACCCTGTTGCTCATGCTCTTAACCAACTGAGCCACTCAGTCGGCCCTTATCATGATATTCTTAGGCATGCATTTACTCCATAAAAAAAGTAATTATAATTTTCTGTTGGTAAATCTAGCTTTTTATATTAGGATTGCTAAAATTATACAAAAGTTACCAAATAATTTTATTTCCAAACAAAATCTTAACTAATTGGATTATTGCTATTTTTGTACTGCATATAATGAATGACATGTGGATATTTTGTTTCTTTGGATTTTTATCTTTTTTCCAGCTTTATTGAGATATAATTGACATGTAACATTGTATATGTTTAAGGTATACAGTGTGTTCATTTGACACACTTCTGTTCCTAAATGATTACCACAGTAGCATTAGTTAACACTTCCATCACCTCACATAATTACCATTTCTTTTTTGTGTGAGTACATTTAGATGTACTCTGTTGATGTAAGAAATGTCCAAACCTGTAGAGAAGTTTAATGAGTTTATTTGAGCCAAACTGATGACAATTGCCAGGAAGCAAAATCTCAATGTATTAAGAAAATGCTTTTGAAAATGTTAGTTTCACAGCTTATTTTATACATTAGAATCAAAAGAGGAGATTTAAGGAGAGTTACATAAAATCCATTAATGGTAGATTAAGGGGGTGGGAGAAAGCAAAGCGAGGAAATCTCTGGGATTGGAAAAAAAGTAAAATGGAGAATCACATATTTCTTTTATGTTGGTGGGCACAGTATAGTTAATTAACATTTCACAGCACATAGAGATGGTATTCAGGGAACAAGATAACAATGAAGGGCTCTGTAGTCTGGTGCTCTGGTGTGGAGGGTTGTGCCCTAAGGGGTCTGGAAATAGGGATTACTCTGACCTTCCAAATGTAAAAAAACAATAGATAGGTTCACTTAAGTGTAAAGATTGACCTTTGTCAAGGAAGCTACAGGCCAAAGATGTGACTACCTGCCATGACTCACTTTTAGTTAGGAATTTTTATGTTCAGACCATCCTATGTGGTTAATTTTGGTCTCTGAGTTTGTAGGCCAGCTATGCGGGTCTCCCTTGAGCTTGTCAGGTTTAGTATGTGGCCCCTTTTTTGTCTACAACTCTCATGGCCACCTTCAAGTATATACTACAGTATTGTTAAGTAAAATCACCAACCGGAAGTTTATGCCTTGTGACCAGCATCCCCACATTCTCACCACACTCTCCGTCTCTGGCTATCACCACTCTACTCTCTGATTTTATGAGTTTTTTCTTTTCTTTTTTTTTTAAAATTTTTATTGGGTAACAGTGTGTTTTTTCCAGGACCCATCAGCTCCAAGTCAAGTAGTTATCCTTCAATCTCGTTGTGGAGGGCGCAGCTCAGCTCCCAGTCTAGTCTCTGTTTTCAATCTAATTGTGGGGGGCAAAGCCCACCATGCCATGTGGGAATTGAACTGGCAACCTTGTTGTTAAGAGCACGTGCTCTAACCAACTGAGCCATCTGGCTGCCCACCGGCAGCTCAGCTCAAGTAGTTGTCTTCAATCTCATTGCAGAGGGCGCACCTCACTGGCCCATGTGGGAATCGAACTGGCAGCCTTGTTCAAACCATGGGCTCCAACCAACTGAGCCACCTGGCCACCTTCTTTTCTTTTTTTTTAGTTGCTTTTATTTTTATTTTTTTTTTTAGGATTTTTATTAAAAATATAGCTGAGATACAATATTATATTAGTTTCAGGGGTACACCATGTTTATTCAACATTCATATACCTAAAGAAGTGATCGCCATGATAATTCCAGCAACCATCTGACACTGCTATCACAATATTATTGACTATATTCTCTATGCTGTACACGACATCCCCGTGACTTACTTGTTTTATACCTGGAAATTTGAACCTCTTATTCCCCTTCACTTCCCCCTCCCCTTTTTAATTTTTCAATTGTAGTTGACGAGTCTGGCTTTTTTCGATTCCACATGTAAGTGAGATCATACGGTATTTGTTGTTCTCTGTGTGGCTTATTTCACTTAGCATCATGCCTTCCATGTTCATCCACATTATCACAAATGGCAGGATTTGCTTCTTTCTCATGGCTGAAAAAGATTCCATTGTGTATGTACATGTGTATACGTACACACTTACATACATAAATACATACATACATAACACATATTCTGTATTCATACAGCTACTGATGAATACTTAATTTGCTTACATACTTTGGCTATTGTGAATAAAGCTGCAATAAATATGGGGGTGAAGTTATCCCTTTGAGACCCTGATAACAGATGGATGGAATGTTTCATATGTGTTTGTTAGGTCCTTTTGGTCTAATGCATGGTTCGAATTAACAATATGCTTGTTGATTTTCTGTGTGGATGATTTATCCACTGCTGAAAGTTGGGTATTGATGCCCTTCACTATTATTGTATTGTTGTCTGTTTCTACCTTTAGATCTGTTACTATCTGCTGAATATTTTAGGTTCTCCAATGTTGGGTGCATATTTATTTAGAATTGTTATATCTTCTTTATCAATTGATCCCTTTGTTATTATATAAAGGCCTCTTTGTCTCATGTTATAGCCTTTGGCTTAAAGTCTCTTTTGTCTGATATAAATCTAGCTATTCCTGTTCTCTTTTGGTTTCCACTTGCATGGAATATCTTTTCCATCCATTCACTTTGAGCCTACAAGTGTCCTTAGAATGACTTGAGTGGGCTGGCCAAGTGGCTCAGTTGGTTAAGAGCTTGCTCAAGAGTGTGAGCTCTGAGCAACAGGGTCGCCAGTTCAATTTCCACATGGGCCAGTGAGCTGAGCTGCCAACAGGTGGCAGGATGGCTCAGCTAAAAAAAAAAGGAAAGAATGAATTGAGTGTCTTGTTGAAGTATTGGGTTGTTGGAAAAGTCATGACGTATTTTTTCTATGTTTTTTGTTGCAAAAATGCGTCATGACTTTTTCGATAACCCAATATATAGTTGGGTCTTATTATTAAATCTATCAAGTCATTCAGTGCCTTTTTACTGGAGAATTTAATCCATTTACAAATAATTATTGACAGGTAAGGACTTACTAATGCTATATGATTTTTTTCTGGCTGTTTAGTTGTTCCCTTGTTCCTTTCTTACTCCCTTGATGCCTTCCTTTGTGAATTGTTTGTTTTCCATAATGGTATGCTTTGATTCCCTTCTCGTTATCTTTTGTGAATCTACTGTAGGTTTTTGCTTTGTGGTTACCATGGGGTGTACATAAAACATATAAACATTAAAAGTCTCTTTTATGTTTATCATAACTTGGATTGCATACAAAAATCCTACCAATTTACTCCCCTTTTATGTTTTTAATGTCACAATTTCCC